AAGTGCTTTATGCAACTTATACATCTTACTTGCTTACTCCTTAATCACAAACCCATGAGGTTTTGTGACATAAACCTCTTCATCTAAAGGACCATTTAAAAATGTTGATTTCACATCTAAGTAAAATGTCGAAAAACCTTGCTTGCATGCTAAGGCGACAACCAATCTGACAATCTCAATTCTCGTTATTGGCGCATACTTCAAATTAGTCAATTCCTGCTCTATGAAGAAACCCTCAAAACTACTAATCATGCCTTATGCCTTGCTATCGACTCATCAACATTGTGCTTTAACTTGAACACCCCATTTTACTTCGATGGCTGTTGTGTGCGCTGGTAATTTGACAAACTCCAATGTATTGTTTCTTTCGATTGCTTGTAACTCTTCAACCATAGCTAACTTCCATTGTTTAATTTATAAAGCCTCGCTATAATTGATTGGTTCAACACCTGCAAGTAAAGCAAAATGAACTAATTCTCAATCTAATGCGATGTTATCATCACCAACCACTTCATAGTCTTGAAGTCTTGCTGAAAAAACTCTAGTTTATTACAGTCTTTGGCTTATGCTAACCATAACCTCTTGATTATCTCTGTCGACTTCGACTTTAACTATCAGTGGAGTATCATTAATTGCTTCAACTTTGACTTAATCATTTTCTTTATCGATGCCATAAATCATCAATGGATTGTGAATTGCATCATCAAAATTCCAATCCCAGGCAGAGTTTTCATCAACCACAATATCTCAACTCATCATGATATTCTCATTGATTGGATTGAATAACATGTATGCTATATTTTTTTGATATCCTACTAGAATCATAGGTTCACTTTTATCATCAAGCTTCCTTCTTCTTGCTTTAGGAACATGCTTGTAGCAAATATATTCAAACGCCTTCAGATGACTCACTAATGGTCATTTTCCATTCCACACTTCTCTAAGAACTTTGTTCTTCAACTTCTTGGTAGGACACCTGTTTAGAATATAAACAGTAGTGGTGTCTGCTTCACCATATAAGGATTTCATTAGATTTTTCTGCTTCAGTATGCATCTCACCATATCCAGTATGGTTTTGTTTCTTCTTTCTGCAATTCTATTATGTTAAGACGTATAAGGAGCTGCTACCTCATGATCAATACCATGTTATGCACAAAACTATTCAAATAGCTTGGATGTGTATTCACCACCTCCATCTGTTCGCAGAACCTTGATCTTCCTCTCACTCTGGTTTTTTACAAGCATCTTGAATCTCTTAAAGATTTCGAATACTCCGCCCTTTCGCTTGACCATATAGACTCAGATCTTTCAAATGTACTCATCGATAAATGAGACGGAATACCTGTTTCCACTAATGGTATGCTCCTCAAAAGGTCCACATACATCTAAATGTATAACTTCGAGTATGCAGGAGGATCTTATTGGCATAGTCGATATGAAATAATTTCTAGATTGCTTCCCCTACTAAGCAACCTTCATAGAGTTTGTCGGGCATCACAAGACTTGGTATACATGTTATCATATCTTGAGTGATTAATTGATCGAGTGAACTAAAATTCAGATGGTCAAACCTCAAATGCCACAACCAACTATTCTTGTGGTCCACGATTGTTTTTAGGAATTTTACCTCAGTCAAACTGATTATGGCCTTAAATGTCCAATTCTTTGACACAGGAGATTTCAAGACCAAATTATCTTGAGTGTCGAACAGTTCCAAGCCTCCATCTTTCATAACCACTGAGAAACCTTTTTCGACCAGTTGTCTAATACTTAATAGATTGTACTTTATTCCAGGTACATAGAGTACATCTTTGATCATAGCTTTCACTCCATTACTTCTTTGAATAACTATCATCGACCTTATGCTTTTGAGAGTTTGATCAAGACTTCTTGCTTTGAGTCTTGTCTCCTTTGCCTTTGAATTTATTGTAACCACCATTCTTCTTCCATGCTTGAGCCTGCAGTGCTTGTATCGACTCTTGAACCCCTTTTCTTTCGACAATCCTAATCTCATGCGCCTCCAACAAACCAACTAAATCTTCTAGTTTTAGGGTTTCAAGATTGTTGGATTATTGAATAGCTTCAATAACGTGATCAAAGTGAGAGGTCAATGTATGATTTACCTTCTCAACTATCATCTTATCTGCCAGGATTTCACCACAACCCTTCATGAGATGGACGAAACTTTGCACCTTCGACACATAGCTTGCAATCTTTTCTTCTTCTCCCATCTGTAGTAATTCATAATGTCGTCGCAAAGTCTGTAATTTGACGATTTTGACTTTCTCACCTTCTTCATAGTACTTGACAAGAATATCTCATGCCTCATTTGCTGAATCTACCGCCGATTAAATGCAATACACAACCTTGCAATATTTCTTCTTTGCCTCCCTGTGTGCAATTTTCTACACGTCAGTTGCATCCGGAGAAAGCTTAAGAACACCGTTTTCGACCACTTATAGGGTTTCATAAAAACCGAATAAGGACTTCATCCGCTTGCTCCATCGGTTCTAATTTTTTCCATCAAGAATTGGAAGAGAATTCAGAATACTCTTAGTATCATTCATCTTTGCAATGATTGATTAACAACCCACGATCCCCGAAATATGATCTCTGACATGTAATTCTTGAAAACACGATCAAGAACCTAACTAAAACTCTAAATACCAATTTATTAATACGTGAGACACTTTTAGTGAAAACAGAAAGAGAGAGAATAAAAAAAATAAAAAAATAATATTATTGAACTGATAAAAACTGAATTACATACTATCTTATTTATATATAACTAACTAACTTGTATACTAAATAACTACCCTTAATCTTAATTAACTTTAAACTTAGGCTAGACATCTTGTTTTATATCATAATATGAACATCTCTTACTATTATAGTTGGGGATAAGAAGTCCAATGATGAATAACGAAATTATCTTAGATTCATTAACTAATCATTTTTAAATTTTTTTTTGTTTTATATATATATATATATATAGAACACAACATAATTATTTTCATTAAAAGAATCATGCAATTGTCGCGCTACGCATCAATCTTCTTTTAGAGTAACAAGTTAATGTGATTTGGATAAATTAGTTATAACTACTCTTAAGTTAGTTATAAGATATATGTAAATGTTAGTTGGCTGGACCACTATAGAAACTATGGGGCTTATTGATGCAATGTATTTAATTTTCAATAATATTATTCTTGCTTGTTTTGTTTTCTTTAGCATTACTTTTTGTGAATAATATGTTTACTATCATCTAATACCAAATTTCAACAATAAGAATAACTTGCTAAGTATCATTATGAGAGTTTCTAGCAGAGCTTAACATATCATATCAACTCATCACAATCGTGTTCATAATTAAAATTTAATAAATTTTTTAATCAATAATTAATATTTATTAACAATTAATTATATTTTTTATTATTAAGAATTAGTTATTTTAATTGATAGGGTGGTTTCAAGTCAAAAATAGTCCAAAAAAAAAACCACTCCTAAAAAATATGAATGAAAAAGAGAGAAAAAGTTCAAAAATACAAACTTGATGGGTATTAAGTGAAAAGACCGTGACTTAATATTTCCTTTTTCACATTCCTAATTATGTCATTCATACTTTCATAGCATTCAAAGGCAGCATGGAAGGTAATATCATCGTAAGGTTTTGATATGATGTCATAGGTTTATATCATAAGAGTTTAATAACATTTTGTTAACAAATAAAATTAACATAAAAAAAAAAATAGAAACCTTTTTCTTAAATGGGGATAATATTTAGAACGTGTTCGAAACAGTCTACTCTAATATAAAAAAGCATGAGGAAAAAAATGTACAACTACAAAACAAAGAAGTATATAGAATTTCAACGGGACGGGTTTCATTGGTCCCCCCACCCCCAATCAAAATCAACTAACACCCAATTGTTAACTTTTTAATTTTTGTATCTTATTATCAATTTCCTTTTTTGATGAATAATACTCCCGTTCTATAATAAACATCATTTTTAATCTTTATTTTTTTATTTATTTAAGATTTAATTAATATTTTTTCTATAAATATAAATATTTTAATATGACATACCGCTAAAATATTATAAATATTTTAAAAGTGTATGATAAAGTAAAAAGTATTAACTCTAATATTTAATAAAATTAATTTGATATTTTTTATAATTATATATTTTTTCTAGAGTCAAACAATACAAGTTACAGTAAAAAAAAGGAAATAAAATATTAATTAAAAAATAGTATAATTTTACTATTTGCATGCTTAGCATATGGACACACCGCTTTATTGGCAGTGTGTCCTCTGTACCCAAAATCATGTCTCAAACAACAACGGATCTTACAACCCCATAACCCCCTTCACCCCCTCACCACCCCTCTCTTTCTCTCTCTTCTTTCTCTCTCTAACCTCCCATGGTTTTTTGAACTTCAACTATCGTTTTCTCTCCTCGTGAACTGCATGTGAACCTTGTTGTCTCTCAGAGATCTAACGGTACCACCTTTTCTTTTCTCTTCTTATTCACCTGATTCAACTGTTTTTTTGTCCCCTTTTACAAATGCTGTTGTTATTACTTCATGACTCTCCATTGTCTCTCTTACCCATTTTGTCAAACAGTTACACTTGAGCTTTGAAATAATGGGTTCTTCTCTTTTTCTCTTCTCTTTGCTTGAGTGACTTCAAAATTGTGTCTTGTTTGAGAGTAGTAGCAGAAGCTGAACCAACACTCCGGTTAAAGTTTTTTTGTTTTTTGTTTTTGGAGTTTGTTTGGTTCAATGGATAATTGACTATGAGAGTCGATGTTACCCTTTTGGTGAGTAATAATAGGTGTTCTGAGTCGAGCATTTTATTATTATTATTTGTTGTTATTACCATAATTGTGAAGTACTATTGGTATATTTGGCATAGTTGTAAGAAAAAATGAGATATTCTGTGATTTGTTTCATTAATTTAGAGGAAATTATGGTGTTAGTAGGGTTGGTGTTCTGATAATGACTAGGGCTATTCGGAATAGGGTACTCAAAGATGCTAATGGTGATATTAGTGATCATTTACGCAACCACATTCATTTAACAAATTGTATTCACTTGAAGAACCATATGCATAAAAACAGTCCAATACTCGCTGATAGGTCTATTATGAGAGACCTTGTTGTGCTTCAAAGATCGCGGTCTCTTCGGGACCCTTCTGCGAGTCCTCCGTCATGGCATTCTCCTTCTGTGGTTGACTTGCTTTTCAAAAGAGGAGAAAATGATGGTGTGAATCAAGGGGGGAGGAGGTCCCTTGGTGTTGATAGTCGGAAGGAAGGTAGGAGGTTGTCTGGAATTGGAAACTCCCCACCGTTGGTGAGTAAAGGTACATCGAGAGTTGCTCCAGGCGAGGCTAGTAGGGGTAACGATGCAGTGCCGGCGGCAACTAGTGAACGGAGTAGCAGGAGTGGAATCGGGGATGGGAGGAGAGTTGGGAGAGAAGAATCTGGCAGGAAGAGTAATAGGCCTGATTATTTGGAAGTTATCAGTCAAGAGCAACTTCTTCACGAGGCTGGAAAAAGTTTGGCGGAAGATATTGTTTCGAGGCATTCTCAATCTTTGGAGAGAAAGAGTAGACAGCGGGGAAAGAATGTTCGAGAAGTTCAAGTTAAGACTCTTTCTGAACAGCTGAATGATGTTCCTTTGGATAGTGATGATTTGGCATCATCAAACATTCATTTTCGGGCAAGGTTTCCAAGACAAGAGAAAATTGTTGAGGCACAACAGGCCAGCATGCGCAATCATGGAAATGGAATGAATAGGACGAAAAGGCGAAAATTCCGAAGTGCGAGAAGAGCTCGGGTTGCTACAACATCAAGAGATATTGGAGCCGAGAATGAATTGTCCGTGGCTTCAAACTCATTAGCTGAGGGTTCAGCTCACCAGAAATATCACTCGGAGGAGGTCAATGATTATGCAAATGATAATGTTACTAGAGCACCCAAAAATGGGTGTGGCATGCCTTGGAATTGGTCCAGAATTCATCATAGAGGTAAATCTTTCCTTGACATTGCTGGAAGAAGTTTGTCCTGTGGTTTATCTGACTCAAGGTTAAAGAAAGGTACGTCTTTAGCTTCAAATGGAAGAAATATTTCTGTGATGCCTGTGGCAGCTGACGGCTCTAGCTCATGTACTAACTCCGAAGCAGAGGCACTTCCTTTACTAGTTGACGCATCTGGATCTCATGGAAGCACTGAAAATGCTTGTTGGGGCCGTGGTTATTCAGGCGAACTATGTATTTATGGTGACAATTTATTGAAGCAAGATATCGATTCTGATCTTGCTTCTGAAGCTAGATCTGGTAGCCAACATAATAAGTTGAGACGGAATCATCATAGTAGACACCAAAGTTTAACACAAAAGTATATTCCACGAACCTTCAGAGACATGGTTGGACAGAATTTAGTGGCACAAGCTCTTTCAAATGCAGTGATGAGACGGAAAGTTGGATTGCTGTATGTGTTTTATGGTCCCCATGGCACCGGGAAAACTTCCTGTGCTCGCGTATTTGCAAGAGCTTTGAATTGCAGTTCGTTAGAACACCCAAAACCTTGTGGCTTTTGCAATTATTGCGTAGCACATGATATGGGAAAGAGTAGAAATATAAGGGAAGTTGGTCCAGTCAGTAATTTTGACTTTGACAACATCATGGATCTACTCGACAATATGACTGTTTCCCAGCTTCCGTCGCAGTACAGAGTGTTTATTTTCGATGATTGTGATGCTCTATCGGCTGATTGTTGGAATGCTATATCCAAGGTCATTGATCGAGCACCTAGACGTGTGGTTTTTATCCTTGTCAGTACTAGTCTTGATGTCTTGCCTCATATAATAATATCCAGGTGTCAAAAATTCTTTTTCCCAAAGTTGAAGGATTCAGATATTGTAAATACACTGCAGTGGATTGCAACCAAAGAAGGTCTTGATATTGATAAGGACGCCCTGAAACTCATTGCATCAAGGTCAGACGGATCGTTGAGAGACGCCGAGATGACACTTGAACAACTTAGTTTGCTTGGGCAGAGAATTTCCGTTCCTCTAGTTCAAGAATTGGTAAGTTTATTTTTTTATCTGTTTCTTTTGTCGATACTTCTTTCACTAGATTCTGTTGTAAATTGCTGTTAATATTGCTAAAAATCGTTTCTTCAGGTTGGGCTTATCTCTGATGAAAAGTTGGTGGATCTGCTTGATTTGGCATTATCTGCGGACACGGTAAACACTGTAAAAAATTTGAGAGTGATAATGGAAGCAGGAGTTGAACCATTAGCTTTGATGTCACAGCTTGCTACGGTAATTACAGATATACTTGCCGGGACCTATGATTTCGCTAAAGAAAGGCGAAGAAGGAAGTTCTTCCGAAGACAACCATGTGAGTCAAAAGTCAAAACTCTTTTTTATAGATAATATATTAATTTTTCAGAGGTGTCGGTACTACAGAGGTTTCTAGTCTTACGGCTTTTATATTTCTGTCAATGTAGAGACTGAAGAACCTTAATTTGGTTTCATTATTGATGAATACATTTTTTATTATTGCCTTTCACAAATTGATGATAATGATTTCTGTCTCAGTGTCCAAAGAAGATATGGAAAAGCTTCGTCAAGCTCTAAAAACTTTATCTGAGGCGGAGAAGCAGTTAAGAATGTCTAATGACAAGCTAACCTGGTTGACAGCTGCGTTGCTTCAACTTGCTCCTGACCAGCAGTATGGGTTACCGACTTCATCTGATAATAGCTTCCACCATAGTCCCTTTGCTCTAAACAATGGAAATGTGATGAAAGAAGCTACTAGAAACACCAGTAATCCTGTTGAAATTCCTAATAGAACAAGACGAAAATCAATGGATGCTAGAATAGAAAATTCTATTGCTGGAAATTCGACAGATAGAAGACATAGCGTTTCTGGTTTTCCTCCTCAACATACTTGTTCACATTCCACTGATAAGACTAGGATAAATGAAAGGCAGAATTCGGATAAAAACCGCAAAGAAATCGAAGAAATATGGTTAGAGGTGCTAGAGAGGATTAACTATCCTGGTCTCAAAGAGTTTTTGTATAAAGCAGGAAAGCTGATCTTCATTAGTTTTGGGGCAGGTGAACATGATCATATCTTCACTATTTTTATTTAAACAATGCAACTAATTATTTTTTGTAGCGATTTAGTAAAATTCTAATGGTAGTGTGATCCTTTATTTTATTATTCAGCTCCAACTGTGCAACTAATGTTTAACTCTCAACTTTCAAAATCTACGGCTGAGAAGTTCACTGGTCACATCTTACAAGCATTTGAATCTGTCCTTGAATCTTCTGTAACCATAGAAATTAGATGTGAATCAAATAAAGATGCAGACTTGCCTCTTGTATTGCCTGCTATCAATGATGGTTCATCTCAGATACGAGACTTAATTGATGTTGGCACTGAGAAGAGAAGGGGTGAAATCATAGAAGAAGACGAAGAAGCCTCTCATATGGAGCACAAGAATATTGAACAGCAGGGTATGGGACAAGTGTCAATGTCTCAAAAAACACCGATTGCTGTGTCACATAGTCAAAGTCGAAGTCTTGTAAGAAGTAAGGTATCTCTTGCTCATGTAATCCAGCAGGCAGAAAGTCAACGAAGTGGGTGGTCAAAACGCAAAGCAGTTTCTATTGCTGAAAAGCTCGAACAAGAGAATCTGTATGTTGTCGCTCCTTCCTCCTCCTTCATTTCGACATAATTCCATTTCCGTAATACAGTAAGTAATGTATATGATATAACTTCCTATTGATTTTAAAATTATTTACCTTGTAGGAGACTGGAGCCAAGATCAAGGAGCTTGCTAGGCTGGAAAGCATCTAGAGCAACTCGTCGGAAGGTGATTTGTTTTCCTATGTTAAACACAAGTTGCGGTTTGTTTTGCATTATTATTATATACTATGATGACTTTAATTGATGTATTAAATTGAATTCGCAGCTGTCACGGTTGAAAATACGAACCCGAAAAACACGCGCATTGCTGAATCTTATCTCATGTGGACAATGTCTCTCCACAAAATCTCCCAGGTAGTTTTGGGAATCTTTCAAGTGTTAGGTTCATTCAGTAGTTCATTTGTATTGGCCTACAGGGTTGAGCTTTTTTTCTTCTTTCATTTAACTAAATAAAATCAGGTAGTTACATTTATATATCAGATGAAGTAAATGTAAGAATGTAGTTGTAGTAATTAATTCCATTTTAGTGATAAGATATTGCATAATTTTCCTTCCTAGCAAATCACTTGATGAAAATGTCAAACTCTTAATTTAGATTATTTTCATTTATTGTTTATCCAGTCACCAATCTAGACCATTATATCAAGATCTAGCAGGTTAGCAAGTTGATTCGACGGTTTAGATCGTATCACTATGCCATTGGGCGATTCTAAATGAAGTATCTTCATAACAGTATTCACCATAATAATATAAACAATTACATCAGGTTTAAATGTGTTTTTCATTGATTTGATTTCACATCTATAAACTAACCTTAATGAAAAAAGGGTGGTTTATTATCTGTATTAAAGTGCATCAGTATCAGATCACAACCAACTTCTTGTTTCTTCATGTTCAAGCAAGATTTGTGGCCACACTACAGCAGCAAAATCAAATTCCATTTTCAGTCACCTTTTTCCTTGATGTACTACCTTAATATCCCACAAGACAGATTAAATATGCCCTCATAGTACTATTATTGCAAACTCTGCACCTAATTATCATTCACTATTACCATCTATAAATGCAATTCACTCCATTACATTTCCACACATCAAACAAACACTCAAAGCAACAAAATTTACCTATTACTTGCATATTTCTATAAACAGAATTAGTATCTAGTAAGAAGATGAAGCAAATCATCTTCTTTTCCCTCCTAGTACTATCTGCTCATATCTTTATCATCACTACTTCAGCTCAATCACCTGCAGCAGCACCTAAACCTCCAGCTAAACCTGCCCTTGCCACACCAGCTCCAGCAGTAGCACCTGCAAAACCATTGGTCCCTTCATTACCTCAATTCCCCTCCTCCGATTCTTCATCAGGTCAAGACATCATCAAAATTCTAAGGAAAGCTAAATCATTCAACACACTGATCCGGTTGCTGAAAACAACACAAATCATTAACCAAATCAACGCACAACTAGTGACAACAAAATCCGGTGGTTTAACTATTCTTGCACCCGATGACAGTGCTTTTTCGCAGCTCAAAGCTGGATACTTCAATTCCCTTGGCGAACGCCAACAGAAAGAACTGATACAGTTTCATGTTCTTCCTGCTTATGTCTCGAGCTCAAATTTTGATTCACTAAGTAACCCTGTGCTGACACTTGCAAGTGATAGTCCTTCTGGTTATCAAATGAATGTGACGGCTTATGGAAACAATGTGAATATTTCAACTGGTTCTGTTAATGCTACACTCACAGGGATAGTGTATTCTGATAAGACACTTGCTATATATCATGTTGATAAGGTGCTTATTCCTTTGGATTTCTCTAAGCCTAAAGCTCTAGCACCTGCTCCTACAATAGCAAAAGCACCTAAAGGTGCTAAGGATTCATCTTCAGATGATGATCAGGGTGAGACAACTAAGGCTACATCTGATGCTATCAGTTTGATTAGCCTTCAAGGAAAATTGTTTGTGTCCCTTTTTGTTGGTTTAGTTGCAGCTATAGTTATCTCAAGTTGATGAAGACTAATCCATTTGAAAGATTTATGTTCTTATTATTTTATTTCTCCTGTGTTCTTTCTTTCTTGGTTTTGTTTTGTATTGTCCTGGGAAGAGTGTTGTTTGAGAGATTGTGAAGTGTAAGCACCCTTGCCTGATTTTTTCAAGTAAAACAAAAACAGATTGGTATGAAAGTATTGAAAATTGTTAGAAATTAAATCAAGTGTCTTCTAGAATGTATAAGAAGCTATGCAAGATATATGAACTATCATCATATTCTTTCACATTCTTATCCATTAAATAATATAGGTTTCTTATCTATTAAATAATCTAACATTTTTATTCTTTAAGTAACTAACAAAAATAATGTTAAATTGTTATATCAAACTGTTATTTCATATTTGTGCTCGTTCCCAACTTCTCAATCGAAACTGGATTTCGTGTGAAAAATCTTGTTTCACTTTTGCAAGTGGTGATAAGCATATGTAACAACAACATAATTTGTAAATTACTAGTACATTGTAAATTATTGATTTTACTTTTGAAAATATATGTCTAAAGTTGGATTTACATTTTTATTTAACAAAATGAGTGTTAAATGAGCCAATTACATAAATTTATTAATTTTGAAGCTTCATTTATTTCAGCAAGAAATATCTTGCAATTGCAGTAAACCGTGAAAAAGAAAGTAAGCCCAAATCGATAATGTAAACTTCACAATTATTATTTGTAGTTTTAAAAAAAATTAGAGAATTTCTTTTTAAATTTTTATGTTTTCTTTTTGCAGGATTCTGACGAAAAATTCAAAATATTTTTTGAATTCAAATGTATATATTCGAATGCATTGTATTTGTCAAAAAAATATGTGTTCGCATTTGCATATCTGAAATCATTTTATTGTAAGAAAATGTGACTTCGCATGTGCATATCTAAATAAATTTCATTATTTAATATTTCATAATGTATATCTGAAATCATTAATTGTTATCAGTAGCGCGAACATAACATAGAACCTATTTCTTTACAAATCCATAATCCTCATTTCTACTCAAAACTCATAATTTCTACTACTCAAACTTGGATAATCTACTCATTTCTACTCATTTCAACTCATCTCCTCATTTTTACTCATTTCAACTCATTCCAACTCATCTCCAAAACTCTAAATTTGTGTAAGTTTTCTCCATTTCCATTTAATATACTTTACAATGCTATAGTAGTTTATTAAGTTAGTTAGAATCAATTACATTGTGTAGGTTAATGTTAGAGTAGTTAAATGTTGGTGGTTGGGTAATAAAATAAGGTTTTTGGATGATTAAGGGCAAGTAGAAGAAGCTATCCGAAAATGGATGTTCGTATGTGGTTTTAGATGTGCACATCTGAAATCTCCCTTGACTAGTTTCAGACGTGCACATGCGAATTCTTGCCTGAGTTGATTTTTTAAAACCAGCATACTAACAATTATGCACTTTTAAGGAAGATGACTGACAACCAGGACCTGAATAATCGATTGAGATAAGGCATGCCAAGTCAGGCTGCCTCTCAGTGTGAGAGAGTCGAGCAACATGTTAACAGGCCTCAAGGACGGGGTCGAGTACGGTGGGAGGAAGTGTCTGGAGTTTTTACTTTTGCACCAACGAGTCGCCTGTCTCAGGCGTCATCCTCTCGTGCACATGAGCAGATACCCGATGAGGAGGAGGTATCCGAGTAGGTTCAAGTACCCGAGGAAGTTGAGGTACCCGAGGAGGCGAACCTCGACTATCCTGGAGGGCCTTTTGACACCTCCCTCTTGATCTACTATAATGATCATGCCGCTCTGCATGTTTGAGATGGAGAGATATATTTTTGGTTGCAATTTTTTCATTTTAAAGGTTTACTCACAAATATTATTTTAACGGTTATTATTTTTTTGTTACAGAAACGGTTGCCCATTAAGTCCATGAACCACTCACGAAAAATCTTTGAATTGTTTATACCTGCGACAACTTTATTATATGAGGTCGTTGTTGGATCTGGACTTACCGAAATATGTTGTACTAGTTATGTTACTATAAGCCACGACATATAGGGGGCATTTTCCGAGAGGTGGCACAAGAAGACGCCTTCTTTCCATTTTCCTGTTGGGGAGATGATGATTACACTTGATGATGTGGCTTACTTTCTCCACCTACTTATCAGAGGGATGTTACTTAACCATCACAAGGTACCACGAGCTGAGACGGTTGAATGGATGGTCGAGTATCTTGGAGCTTATCCATTTCAGGCAGCTGAAGACTGCAGAACAACTAATGGGGCGCATGTAAAATTCTCCACCTTGAAAAACTTATATGAAGAACACCTAGTTGCAGCAGCAGGGGTAACACCCCAATTCTACCCGATAATTAATATAAAAATCAGAGTTATAAAATTTCCGATAACCGAATCTGGATGCTACAATTACAACTTAAAACAATGACATTCATTGCAGATACATAACACGTCAAACTGGAATGAACTAACAGTAACATAGTTTAATCTTTTAAACCAGCAACTGTCGTAACTACGTAGTGGAATAACTTCAAATAACAAATATTTAACGAACAACAACTTAAAGCTCAATCAAATGAAATAATCAACAATAAAACAACAAGCGTTCATCCACCCGAGTGTTACGTATCAGACAATGACACTGACTCAAACTACTGAAAGTAAATCGTCTTCACTCTGGATTACTTGCACGTTACCAACATCGGGGTAACATTCAAACAGAATGGGTGAGATATCGAACAATATAATCAGATGTAAGAAAAATATTACAATAGAATTAGTCTATGCAAAATCACCACTTCGCAACTTTAAATGACATCAATCACAACAAAACTTCAACGAAACATGACAAATAATTTATCAACCCAACAACTCCAATATGCAACGTGAAATGCAACTTATTACTATACACATGCATGTGATACCAATGGAGCAGAACTCCCAACTTAAAAATCTTGCTAATTAATAGAGGCAGCAACATAGCATAAGCCTTCAACTTAATATTTTGTCAATCTAGACCAACTTAACGAGCATCAGCTCCCACGTGATATGTCATGTATGCGACAACATAATTAAATGCAACATCAACAACAACAACATATAACAATATTGACATAAGCCCACAACTCAATAATTGCCAATAAATAGAGGCAACACAACAAAATTCATCATCTGTAACTTCAATAATTAATAACAACAACACAACAACTTACACATGCCAATAATGTTATTAACACGTTTCTACTAAAGTACTTCCCCTAAATTATCATGCTGCTAATCCCCATTAATAGTTTTCTGCTAAATTAATGAATCTATTATTTTCCTGCTACTTAAATTATCTCTACTACTACTATATTTTGGTTACTACTGTTTCTGTTATTTGCTACTAGCTCTACAACTAAAACCATACCAGTTACTAATTTTGTAACTCATTACTCTTACCTGTTAAATATCTACTACTATTACTTTCATAAATTATTGCTGCCATAATTTATCACTATGTTGTCTGCTCTTACTAATTTTCTGCTAACGTTTACTAACTCTATTGCTTATTAATCTTATCTGCTATATTTGTGTTAATATACAAATAGTTCACTTCTGTTACTAATGATTAACCTCTGCTGTTTTTCATTCTATTCTAACTCTGCTACTCCTTTTTCTGTAACTAAGCACTAAATTAACAAATATACAGGAAAGACACAGGGAACAATTAAAGGAGATAAGGTTGATGGTTTCTGCCCCCCGTCATGCCTAACCATGCCCCTCGACATGTAAACCGTACCCTTCGGCACAAAACATGGTGCCGGTCGGCACCCTTCACCATCAAACACGCTCCGCTCGGCACACCATCCAATTCTATAACTTCATTCATATTTTCCTGTGATCAGTGGTTCCTTCCCTTACCAATGATTCCAGATCGACACTACATGTATTCATAACAACATAACAACCATACCCACATCAATACATGATAATTTCCAACATTCGATTTTGTTAGAACAAGATTGGTTCTGATCATATCTCAGAGTTTTGATGATAACAATAAATATACTTTATATAATTGATACTCTGATGAACATATTTATTTGTTTCAGATAATGTTCTGACATAAGCATTTTGACGTGCTGAGCTGAAAATAAATGAAGAAGTTCTTTAATGAAAGAACTATTTGTTTTAGCGCAAGTGCTGATGCTGACTTTGATAAGAAACTATCTTCTGCATCTTCTAACGCTTAGCAAGTTTCCTTGTTCAGAAGTACTTTGAAAGCAAGTGTTGTTCAGAAGTAATTTGAAAGCAAGCGCGGATCAGAAGTACTTTGAAAGTAAGCTATGTTCAGAAGGATTCTGCAAGCAAGACGTGAAGCCATGTTCTGAAGCAAGACATGAAGCTTGTTCTGAAAGAATAAAGAAGCTAACAAGTCTTGTCAAGTTTCAGGAAACATGCTCTGACAATTTCCCTTTGCTCATTTAATGCAAAGACGGCTACATGGACTCAAGTGTCTACGCTAGTTCATTAGAAAATGCAATACTGCAAACAAACACGCAAACATTAATTGCTCTCCACTTTTGAAGGCAACAACGGTCAATTTTCTTCATGCTATAAATAGAAGATCATTTATTACAAGCTAATTACTCAACAAATTCAAAAGAAGCAAGAACTACGTGAAAATATTCTGGGCTCACAAATTATTTTACATACACTTTGTGCAATACTAACCTTTGTGAAAAATCACAGTTGTGATATAGCTTTCTTAGAAGCAAATTTGTTTTACTATCTGTAAAGATTTCATTCTTGTAATTGTTCCTTGAGAGACCAAGTTTGGTCAGATTTCTCAAGAAGACTAGGACTAGTTTGAGTCTTAGTGGTGTTAGTCACTTGTAAGTTTACTTGTGCATTGTTAGTCATAACAGTTGTTGTGTGATTGTAATCAGTTGATTATAGTGAATTAAGTCGTTGTTGAGAAAGACGAAATCACCTTGGCGGGTGGACTGGAG